CACAAGACAGGCGCCACGGCCAAGGCGATCCCGAGCCTAGACCTGTGTGACCTTATGACCTCACGCGTCTGTGTGACCTTATGATCTCCGGCGCCTGTGTGACCTTATGACCTCACGCGTCCCGAGCCGGCCGGCGCGGCTGCTCTCCAGCCGGGGGTCTGCCCCTCCCTCGGCCGAGCGCCGCTGACGGCGCCGGGCAGTGGTGTCCGTCTGCGGCAGCCGTCGCTGGGCCGCCGCGCCGCCTCAGCGCGACCGTGAGCCCCACCCTGGCGCCGCCGTGTGGCGGCCTGCGTCCGCACCGCCCGCACCCGCCGGTCGCCGGTGCGCCGCAGCCCCGTCCCGGCTGGGTCGGCCGCAGCCTCGGCGGCCCCGGCCGCTCCGCCGGCCAGACGGCCCGGCCGCCGGCCGCGCCCCGCCGCCGCCGGCAGCGGCCGCCGGCCGCTCACCCGTCCCGGTGCGGTCAGGGACTCGCCCGCGCCCGGCACGACTGACTGCCGGCGCTGGGGACCCAGACGTTTCTCAGCCGCGGATCGGCCGGCAAAAAACGCGGCCGCGGTCAAACTTTTGCGGGGTAGTGACGTCAGTCGAGCACCAGTCACAGGCTGATCCTTGTTGCTGGGCTTGTCTCCCGGCACGAAATGCGCCCGCAAGGCTGCTCCAACGGCAACATGACAAACACGTGTAGGAGAAAGGGCGTTCGAAAAAATGAGGGGCTTCATAGCGATTGTGTAGAGGTTTACGTTAATTCTTTACGTGAAAACCATTGTTCGAGGACTTACAACGAGCGCCTGTGCCTTATACGGCCCGTTTTGATTAGATCATCACCAGCCGCATGCCTGCTGTGATGTAAACGATCTTTTACACAGCAAAAAAACACCAAAACATGAGCCCCACACGAAGGCAAGCCAAAAATGTGTAGCACCACGCTGCAACGGACCAAAAGCAGGCCAACTAGTCTGAGGCCGGCGCGAAGCAAGCTAACACCGGAGCAGTCTGAACGGCTCCAAAGTCCGTTCAGACTGCTCGAATCAAGACGCGTTAGGTTAGGTTAGTTGTGTTCGGACGTCTTTTTCCCGGTTACAACCAATGTTTGACTGAACTGTGTTGCTTGTGAGAGGGATCTCGTCCTTGGCCAACTAGAGATAACGGTTGACTTCCAGACGACACATCGCATCCCAGAACTGTACCTGGCACGACTGGCGTTGACACTATTGCTGAGAGACAACGCACCATGTCCGAACGCCCCACTTCACACAATGTCTCAGCGGAGGCCATCCCGTATTGACTGGGTAAAGAGCTGCGGTGTCGGACAGCACTGTCAGGACCGGACGGCGACCGCGTCAGCCCCTGAGTGACCCGCTCTGTCGGGCCCTGGCGACAGGGACTCCGGCGCAGCCCGCTCCTGACGGGCCCAGAATAGGCCCGGCAGACGTGACATGACCCATAAACACGACACGGCGCATACACCGCGTCAGCCGATGCCAATCCGAGTCTTATCGCCGTCTGGGCGGACACTAACGCGCCGCAGGCCGGCCGGCGGCTCCCCGTCACTCCGTCAACTGCCGAGCCTTCCCAGAATTGCCCGGCGCGAATCTTTGCCAGCGCCGCTCCACTGACGAATCGCCCCCTTTAGCCGGCGCATCATGGCCTGATTGCAGCCTGTCTGGCGGTCATCGCGCCATCAATTCCGATGCGACTGACACGCCCGCCTCGCAAACATGCTCACATATTTTTATTTATTTATATATTTGTCCGTAGGAGAGCGACGCTGTCCTTGGCAGGCTGACGACCCCGACGGGCGCCGACGAAACGCGATCCCCGTGATCGAATCGGCCTAACCTCATCAGCATGAGAGAGCCGGGCCGAGGGAGCGGCGCTCGCCGCCCGAGCTCTGAGGACCCGCTCTCCTCCCTGCCCTCCCCTCCCCTCCCCTCCACCACCAGGCGTCCTTTGATGCTGGGAAAATCCGGCCGTCCCGGCTGCCGGCCCGGCGGACCGACGGCGAGGCCGGCCGTCAGCCCGCACCAGCGGCTCAGGGGCGGCCGGCTGCTCGCGACGGACCCGTGCCCGTCTTCGCGCGGAGTCGGAGTCGACTCCACAACCGGTCGAGCTCTGGCTGGCCCCAGGTGGACTCGGTCGAGTTGGAAACGTTTGGCGACGTAGAGGTGATCCCACCGTCCAGAAGCGGGAGTCGACACGTCGATTCCGGCACAAATGCATAGCGCGGATCCTGACTGTTTTTTGCATGACTTGTGCGCACAGATATTGGATCGCTTCGCATAGCACAACTTCGTCACTCGTCAACATCCATCTCCTAAGCTGGGTCCTACGTCGCCCACTGTCAAGGGCGCTGTCTTCTGGGTCGCCTGTTTTCACGCACTGTCGACAGCGGAGTCGAGTACGAAATTCAGTCACAACTTCATGAATTGGGGCTGGAGTCAACTCAAACTGGTGCAAGTTTTCCGGAGTCAGACGGAGTCAGCCATAAGTGGGATTTTTCGAAGTTTGAATCGATTCTGCCGGAGCAGAATCGACCACAGGTGCGACGCGGTGAAAACCCGTTTTCACGCAACCAAACGGCTGGGATAATGCGGCCCACATTGGTGGATGTTCCCCTGAAAGTGCGACAGGCCGCGAGGAAGAACCTAAAAAGGGGGGAGGGGCACCAGCGGTGGCGATGTTGGCAGGCGGGGCACCTCCGCTGAAGGAGAATGCCGACGACCACATGGGCAGCTCAGCGGCTCGCTTTGATGCAGAAGGTATGCTTGGATGAGCGCCGTTATTTCCACCCCAGCGAGGCCGCGTGACCGATGAGGAGCGGCCGGCCAGCGCCGTCGGACGACTTCTGCGAGTGCCGCCGACGGTTTACGGCCCGCGGCCGGGTTCCGCGGCTGGCAGCAGCGCAACACTGGTGGGCCGCAGCTGCTCCCTCGGTCCTCCGCCACCACGGCAGGGCCTCTCGCACGAGTGACACGTAAAGCGAATGAGAAACGCACGACAAACACCCCAACAGCCTCGCAATGGTCCCGGCCGCTTCACAACGGCTCACGCCTCAGCGGTCGTCTCCGCAGTCTAGTGACCCCCCACCTCCCCCCCCCCGGCGGTGTGGCCGGGTCCTCCAGTGTCGGTCCGCTTCCGGTGACCTTGACCCTGGCCGGGGGGGGGGGGCAGCCGCCGCCGGCCCCAGAATAGCCCCAGCCGGCCGGGTCAATCGGCGCACTTCAAACAGGCGGCGAGCGCCGGCGCCGGCCGAAATAGCCGGCCAGTGGCCGAAATACGCCCGCCAGACAGCCGCGCCACCAAGACCAACACGGCGCAGACGGAGCCCGTCGGACGGGGCGCGCCCGCGCCCGCGCCGGCCGGCGGACGCTTGCGGCCCGCCGGTGCCGGCGTCGCGTCGCGTCGGCGAGGTCGGAGCGAGGTCGCGTCAGAGCGAGGAGGCTGGGGACGCGGCCGGCGTCGTCGGAAGCGGGCGCGCTCGGTGAGCCCCCGTCGGGAGCGGGTGCGTTCGGTGAGCTCCCGTCGGGGCGGGCGCGCTCGGTGAGCTCCTGTCGGGAGCGGGTGCGCTCCGTGAGCTCCCGTCGGGAGCGGGCGCGCTCGGTGAGCTCCCGTCGGGAGCGGGCGCGCTCGGTGAGCTGCCGCCGCCGCGCGAGATCGACGGGGGACGCCCGGGCGGTCTGGTGTTGGCCGTGTCGGGCGGCCGACCCCGGGGCGCCGTACGACGCTGACGCCGGCGACAGGGATGGCCCAGCTGACCGTGGACGGCCCGGAGGACGGAGCACGCTCTGCAGCAGTGTCCGATGGCGACGCCACACGGAGCGGTCGGTGGAGCTTCATCTTTGACTACGTCGATGTATTCCGATGGGTAGAGTACTGGGGCACTTGGTGCTACAGGTATCTGTTACGACCTTTATAACTGGACGGCATTTGCGACGGACCTCCGACCACGACCAACCAGATCACCGAGAGAGCACCTACTGACGGGTCTTCATCGACGAGTGGACTGAGTGAGGTGCGCCATCCAGCTCCTCCGTCTCGCCTCCCTCCCCATCCCCTCCCCGGCTGGCGGTCACCAGGCCGGCAGACGGCCACCTCATCCAGCGGTGCTCGGGCCACTGACCCGCCTCCCCCTCCCCTCCCCTCCCTGCCTCCAACTCGTCCGGCTGTCTCTTACTGTGGGCCTCCCAGCGCCAGGCTGGGCGCGGCCAACCCGTTTCCTGCCGGCCGGCGGCCGTCGCCCACAATAGCTCCACTATTTGGGCGGGCCGTCTAATTTCGGCGGCGGGCGGGCGGGCGGGCCGTGCCGCGCCATCTCCGACGTTGGCCGAGGGCGCCCCCCCCCCCCCCCCTCCACCCGGTCCGATCAGACCGCGGGGACCTCACTCCGGACGGTCGTCGGCGTGGCGGGCACGGGAAAGGTCGCGGCGCCCCGTGTGACCGGCAGCAGCGGAGGCCGGCCGCCGTCCGGACATGGCTGTAAACACGCCGACTGCAGCCCTTCAATATTCAAACATTTTCAATATTCACGATCGTGGGGCTTTCCGCCTGTGACCCTGACGCTCCTCTGGACCCGATAAACTGCAGGCTCGTGACTATCACATGCCGTGTCGGTGGGTCCGAGGAGAGCGCGAAAGCCGCGCCCCTCTGAGGGGCCACGTGACCGGTCCGCGTCAAAAGAAGCGGCCCGATTTAACCCCGGGTTAATGGGTTCGAGGTGCACGTAAAAGCCGTGCACCTCCGAGGCGCCGCACGAGCGATCTCCGTGCGCTCGGGGCCGTCTGGCCGGCCAAACCCCGTCCGCCGGCCGCCGCGGCTGCTCAGCGCTCTCGCCGCGACAGAACCCGGGAGTCGTTCGCCGTCCAGCTGTGGGCCGAAGAGCAGCACACCGCAACGCGGAGGCCGCTGCGGTTCCGACGATCGGCGCCGCCAGTACTGGTCCAGGTCAGGTCAGGCCAGGTCAGGTCGCGGAAGGTCGGGTCAGGTCAGGTCAGGTCACTCACCAGTCGTCCGGGGTCAGCTGGACGGGCTCGTCGGTGAACTCGGGCGGGAAGTTGGCCAAGTCGCGCTCGGTCTCGACGCGCGGCTTGTACGGCGGGGTCACCTGCTTCTGCTCCAGCTGCAACAGACGGCCGCCAGAGGCGCCACCGTCAGCCAGCGCGCCCCAGTGCGCCCCGGCCCCGCGACTACCACAACTACGGACACAGGCGCCACGAAAGCGGGAGGGTGAGCGCAGACGACCCAGGCACGACAGCCGACTGCGGGAGAAACGAAACGTAAAGCGCACGACGAGCAACAACGGAAGCAGCCTGAAAAAAAACAAACAAAACGAGACCAACCGAGGAGAGTCATGCGGCCGGCCGGGCGGACGGCGCTGCCGCCGCCGCCGCCGGCACTTACGGGTCGCTGGGGGTCAGCTGGACCGGCTCCGAGGTGAACATGGGGTCAAAATACTCGAGGTCAGTGTCGCCGGTCAGGGGCGGCACATACGGCGGCACCAGGCGGCGGCAGCTCAGCTGAAAGGCAGCCCCGGGGCGGGTCAGACGGGGCCGGCGCGGGCCGGGCTCGCCGCCGGCCCAGCAGCAGCGCCGGCCGGCCGCCGGCGGCGTGGTGCGGCGCTGAGACATCGGCGTGCGCCGTTCAGGCATTCAGGCGACAGGCGTTCGTCACGGGTGAAGCAGGGTGAGCGGCGTTCCGCCGTGCCTTCGTGGCGTTGTTTATTGTGGTTGCATGGTGCAGCAAAGCTCATTTTGACCGCAAGTGCGCTGTTGGTGATCTTGGCTGGCCGTGAATCGCGGCCGGGAAGCTGACATACGGGCCGGTGACAGACAGCATGCCAGCAGACACATCAGTTTGCACGGAACTGCCCGACAAGATGAGGTGCAAATTCCAGCACTGGCGCCAGCCGCGACGCGCGGGCGCCAGAACCGCTCGCGGCCATGGCTGAAAGGCACAAGTCACATGGCGGGACACCGAACAGTCAGGCGTCGGTCGCAATGCACGCTCGTTCACAAACGGTCTCCAAAGCCGCCTGCACCACCGGGCCGCGTGTTGACCAGGACGAGAACCTCGACAAGCCGGAAGCTTCAGCACGCCCGTTTGAACCGGCCGTGACTGCCCCTCCCTCCAGTGACTGCCTCTCCCAGGGCGTTCTCAGTGTCCCAGGCTCGCTCTGGCGGGACCGGGGGGCGGCGGCGACGGCGGGGGAGGAGCAGGCACACCCGTCTCCGCGGCCGATCCTCGGTCGGCGGCGGAGGAGCAGACACGCAGTTCAAACAGTCGGACCGCCACACGGCTGGCGGTAAACCGGCGCGCTCGACCACACAGCCGGGGGTAAACACGGCCTCGCCGGCGGACGCGGCGCCAGTGATACGGAAGCAGGGGTTGTACTAACATTTACATTACATCCGGCCGCGGCGAGTGGAGACGCGCCCGGCGAGGGCGCCGACAACAGACGGACGCCGCCGCTGACCGGTCAGACGTAACACTGTTGTGCTAGAGCGCGCCGCGCCGGCACCGGTGCGCTCCGCCGGCATAGTGGGAGCGCTTCCAAGCGGGGTCAGCACGTCCGGTGACCGTTACAGTTGCCAAAATGCGGCGGAAAAAACACAAAACACGCACACGGCATGCATGTGCAACGCACTGCGAGTCGGCGCGCACGGCTACTATTAGGATGGCATCTGCCGGCGTTACCGGTCGCAAGAGATGAAAGCGCTGAGATTCGATAAGTGCTTCGCCAACCGGATGCATTTGGCTGCTCAGGATAACACCGCCAGTTCCGGGCTGGTTTTTGCCGGCTGTCAAGCAAGGTGGGATTTCCAGTCGGTCTCGCAGGCGCAATAATTCGACGAAGGACCTTTTAGGCCCCATCTCCGGACATATGCCAGTTCGCATCTCTTCTGGGAAGTGACACCGCCCTGCACGAGCCGCCGGTACCGACGGGGCTCCGTCCACCTTCCCGGAGCTGGACTGGAGCCCGCCCTGAAGGACGGGCGCCAGTCTCCTCCGCGGGGCGCGCCAAACGAAGCCCCCCGACGCAGCCGGCACTGCCGAGCCGGGAGCCGCCCTCCGCCGGTGCCGCGCGTCTGTCCGGAAACTGTCCGGCCCCCCCAAGACTTCGACCGCGGAGATCGATTCGGCCGCGGGCGCCGCCGGGACCCCACCGGCCCACGGGACCCACGGGACCCCACCGCCGCACCGGCCCGCCGCCCCTGCGCGCGCGAGAGCGTCCCCGCCACCGCCGCAAGAGGCCCGGGGTCCGCAGCAAACAGCGTGATTCGATTTGGCGCGGGAAGCTCGGCGGCGGCGGCAGCGGCACCGGCGCCGTAATAGGACCACGCGCCGCGCGCCGCGCGCCCCGCGGCCAGCTTTTGAAGTTGCCAGGACGGGCCGTAATGAAATTCCCCGGCTGGCCGGCCGGCTCGGGAGCCCCTGATTGAATTTTGAATTGCTCTCGAGAGCTTTTACGGCCGTCGCATAATTCCGGCACCGAGCGGCGCCCGTCGCCGTTCCGGTCAGGCCGCCGTCCCGGGGCGGGTCAGATGGGGGTACGAGCGCCGACCCATCCCCCTCCCCGCCCGGCCACAAGCCGTCGCTGTGCTGCCGCGGACGGGGCGGGCGAGACCGGGAGGGGTAGCTACCCCACCCCCTCCGCCTGCACGGGAAGGCGCTGGCAGCTGCGAGCTCTTGCTCAGGTGACAGCGCGCTGCTCCAGCGGCCGCCCAGTCGTGTCACTGCCGCAGCCCAGCCCAGTCGGCCTGCACGGTCAGAACTGCGCGCCTGCCGCCGCCCCGGCCACGAGACGCCAAGAGGTCACCCAGCGCCTGACTTGACCGCAAGCCAGCGGTGGCGCCGCAGCTGCCCTGACGCCTTTTTGCAGCAATAGCAACCAGAACGTCTCAAGCAGAGCAGGCGCCCCCCGCAAGGCCGCACACACGGTGCCCACAAACGCTGCCAGGCCGGCGAGAAAAAAAAAACAACCGACAGAAAGTGAATGGGCTGACGCAATGCACCAGCTAGAACAAGTGTTTTGGGGGATTAATACACGAGGACAAATTTCGCTACACGAAGCGGCGCTTGTTCCCAGAAGCAGGCGAGCGCGGCGCCATTGATTTCGAGCCACCTGCTATCATCACGTCCAATTACGGTAGGGCTCAACTGACCGGCCCCATTAGAAGCGTATGTTTCAGCTTCTTTTTTGCGGCACGGAGCTATCTCAGATTTCACCGCGAGTGCCAGGCTTTTGACACTCCATGGCCGGACGGCATCAGCACGAGCGGACTGCCGTCCCGTGCGAGGCGTCATTTTTAGGCACACCCGGCGGCGAACATGTCGCGGCTTCCGCGAACTGACCTGCAACAGACTCTAGCCACCGCCGAGCCGTGGACACGCTCCGAATAAAACGTCCGAAACATGCGCCGGACGCCGTCCGTGGGTGTGCATCCGAGCGTGGTCCAAAAATACACGGAACAAGGGGCTTGGGCTTGTCACCGGCTGGTTACTCACGACCGATGTCATCGCCACGCTCGGCTGAACGACTCCGCTCGGCTTTTTTAAGCCGTGCAGCCGCTGGCGGAGCGGCCCGGCGCCGGCGGCACCGGCCGCCGTCCTCGGTGAATCCCCGGCCGCTCCCGGCCACGGACGGCCGTGCGCGCGCCGCCAGCGCCGCCCCGCGGCGGCCGGGCCCAGCGCCACCTGTCGGGGTATTGATCGGGCCCGGTCCGGTTCCGTGAAGCGAGCTCGGCGCGGCCGACCGGTCCGCGAGTTCGCCGCCCGGTCCGCTGGCACTTGGCCGGGGGCGGGGAGGCGGCCGCGGCACACTGGCCCGGCCGAGCGGCCGCGGGCGGCGGGGGCCACGTACCAGCTCCCAGTCGATGGACTTGAAGAACGGGTGGTTGACGATGTCCTGGAAGCCGGTCTCCGGGTGGCAGCCGAGACGCTCGCCCGGGTTCTTGTTCAGGAAGCCCTTCAGGATGCTGCACGCCTTCACCGACAGCGAGCGCGGGATGCGGATGGTCTTCTCCAGAATCACTGCGGGCGCGGCCGGACGAGTCAGAGGCGCTGCCACCACGCTCCCTGGCCTCCCCTCCCCCTATCTCACCCCACCTCACCCACGCACCATCAGCGGCAGGCGCCTCCAAACCGGGCGCCGCGGCGCCGCGGCAGCAGCGAACAGCTGCTCTGCTCGGCCTCATCCAATCAGATCGCAGCAAACTGGATCATACCGTGAATGGGCACGGGGTATAAATGGCAGAGGTCGTGACGGACAGGGACGGTCTTCGTGACGGAGAGCACTGAGCCGCGCGGCATGACGTGCATCCTGATCCCACGTCCACCAGCCTCAACAGACTCACTGCACACAGCGTTATGCGAGGAACGGGAGCAACACATTGAGGGGTAACGAGCAGCAGACACCAGAGTCGCGCAGCACCGGTGCCGACCGCGCGCGTCTCAGATGTGCGACGCGTGCGTCCAGCAATGTGGACAGCATCGCACATGACGCCGAAAGATTGGAACACACCACTGGCCAGGACTGGAACATAGGCGCTCAGCGCATCGCCAAGGGCCAGCAGACAGCGGCGAAGCAGGAACGGGAGGCTCAAGGGGTATCATCTACGGGTTTAAAAAGGCCCACAGGGATGTCCTCACTGCGAGCGAAGCCACCAAATGACAGCTGGAACGTGATGATGACGTCAGCGAACCGGTGACGCCACCAGGTTCAGACCGACGTACAAGGCACGCACGTGCCGAACTCGCCTTTGAAGAGGCACCACATCAGACGGAAATAACACGGCAACTTCAAACAGCACTGAGTCAGTCACCAAACGGAAAGCGCTGGTTCAGAATACTTCTGTGTCCGAGGAACAGCACGTTCTTAAATATTCCCACCGAAACACATTTGGACGTCGCGGATGAGCGACGGAAACTTCACCACCATGCAGCGCAACACGAGGCAGATCGGTTCCCGTCCGGATAAAAACACCATTCAAATGCACACGCGCTTCAGCCTCGGCTGTCGCCAGTGTCCTGGTCCATCGTAAAGCGCCTAAAGACAGATGTCATGAGACATCCAGCCTCTGCCCCGAGCGACCAACACCCCAGGGTCAGGAGTCACCACGCCGCAGGAGCGGCTAACACCACAGGGCCAGGAGTCACCAGGCCACAGGAGCTACCAACGGCAAAGGGCCACGAGTCACCAGGCCCAACACCACATGGTCAGGAGTCACCAGGTCACAGCAGCGGCCAACACCACGGGGTCAGGAGTCCCCAGGCCGCAACAGTGACCAACACCACATTGTCAGGAGTCACCAGGCAGCACGAGTGACCAACGCCACAGGGCCGGGAGTCACCACGCCTTAGGCAGGGTCTGCTCACCTTGGAACAGGTAGTCCTCCGTGTTCTGGTCGGGGGACTCGGAGTACACGCCGATGTCGAACGGGCTCCGGCCGGCCAGCATCTCGTACATCAGCACGCCAAGTGCCCACCAGTCCACACTGGAGACAGACAGCGGCGACATCTAGCGACCGAGCGCGTAACCAAAGCCTGTCCGTACTGCCGCGACGGAACGGCCGGCGCGCAAAAGCCCGCCGTCGCAATGAACATGATCAGTGCACTGGTTGTCAGCATGAGAGGGCGCTTTTTGTCGGCTCAGAACACCACAGCCAAGAGGAGGATCAAAGTGCATATACAAAACTCTGGATCAGACACATCAGCTCGAGATCACGGCGGAGGATGGATAGGGCTAGGCTTCATCCGGCTTTCGTCCGTTCCCACGCCCAGCTCTCTAGCCCGTGACTGGGCACCTCGTCAAGTTCATGGGATTCTCTTTCTCCTCATGGTGCCGGATTCCAGGTTACGTTAGCCGTAATGACGGTTGGAGGCTTTACTCTGGGCCCCATACCGGGTCCGGGGGCACACGTACGCGGGCCCGGGCCCGGGGTGCTGTGGGGCCCAGATCAGGGGGGGGGGGGGGGTACCTGAAGCCGTAGTCCTCGCCGCGCAGAATCTCCGGCGCGATGTAGTTGGGCGTGCCGCAGAAGGTGGACGTCGAGTCGCCCTGGCGGATGCCCTCCTTGCACATGCCGTAGTCGGTCAGCTTGATGTGGCCCTCGTGGTCGATCAGCACGTTGTCCAGCTTCAGGTCGCGGTAGATGATCCCTGCCGGAGGATCCCCGGTCAGGCCCGTGACACCGGCCGCACGTCGCTGGTCTGCGCCGCCTACTGGCCAGACCATTCTGTGCCGTGCTCCGCACAGACCAGGGAACGGCTCCTGGTCACCAGAGTCCCGCCCGGCGCCGGACCCCAGGCGGAGTCGGGATCGATTCCCAAGCCGACCGCATTTTCCTTGAATCAGAATGGACGAGACTCATTCATACACATACCTGAGCCGCAGACTCAGAATCGGAGTCGACTCAGAGCCGTCCGTACTGCTGGGAATCGGTGCCAGAATCACATCCCACATGCCTGTTGGCGAGAATCGGACTCGACTTCACCCGGCGAAAATGTGCACGGAGCCGCCGGCGAGGGTCACGGTACCCCGGACCCCCGCTGGCAGCCGCCCGGCCCGCCACCGGTCGCGTGAGCCCGTGCCCCAGACGAGACGGGAACGTCGTCCGCGGAGTGCGGTTACAGCTCACAGCTTATCCGGATAAGACCCGGATCCCGCAAACCGGCCCGCTGCTGGGGCTCCCACAAGATCCGCCCGTCTCGTCTCATCGGCCACTACAAACAACACTGTAACTGGAGCAGGGAACGCACGGCAGTCGTCACCACAGCTCTGTTTGTCGTGCGCTCCTCGGGTTATTCCTTGGGCACTGCGGCACTGAATTTCAAACGTTCCGGACGCACCAAAGCAACACAAGGCTGCGCGTAATTGGAGCGTGAGACACAGTAGGCACATACCCACGGTGCCGTTCTCTCGTCGTGACCAGCCGCCGTCCGCCGCGACCCCGAGCCGCACGGCCGCCGCGGCCGCGCCCCGCCGGCCCGGCACGTACCCCTCTCGTGCAGGAAGTTCAGCGCCAGGCAGATCTCGGCCGTGTAGAACTTGGCGTGCTCCTCGGGCAGCTTCCGCTGGCGCTGCATGTGGAACATCAGATCTCCGCCGCGCACGAACTCTGCGACGGCGGGAGGAAGGCGGCGTCATGCGGCGGATACGTGGCGACTCCTGGTGGAGGTGCCGCCAACTGTGCTGCCGGCGGCGGCAGCTGCACGGCTGTCGAGAGCTAGGACAGGTATAATGGGAGCGTTCGCTCTCATTCGATGCGAGACGGGGACGGGAAGCCAGCGAGAAATGCCTTACTCCGCTATTCACGAAACGACAAAAACCAGCGCGATGCCATGTGAGAGTCGGGCGGGTCGAATGTTGCCATTAACTCCATTCGATCGGCTGGGTCATTTCTCACACTCATGCAAAAGAGGGCTTCGCCGAACGCACTGCGTCACTTTCGAGCACGTCCTTTGTCACAGAGGCAGACAAATGGGCTCAACGCATGCATCAGTGAGCGCATACATATTTCATAGCGGGTCTTATGACCTGAGTATCTTCTGCCGCTCAGGCTCTGTCGTACATCACAGTTCAGGCAAGAGTGCTTCGCTGCCCAGCGCAAGAGCAACGCACGAAAGACCGACCGGAGCCCGGGCTCACGACGACAGCCCGCTTAAGAAGAGAGCGGCAGGTCACTCACAGCCCACTTGAGACCCCACACGCCTGCAGAACGAGACGCCCGACGGCATGTAAACACAACCATCAGCTCCGCAAACACGCACAGACCATCGCGTCGACCTCGTCCGCGGCCGGCGGTCGCAGTCGGCGCCGGGCAGCCCGGACGAGTGGGCGCGCGGCCCAACCGGCGTCAAACGCCATCTCCGCCGCGCCCTCCGACCGGACGCGCCGCCCTGGCCGACGGCTCGCGTTACCGCCTTTTTCTCAGCGCCACTAATGGCGAGCGATTCACGGCCGCTAAAACGCCGCCATGTCGGAGAATCGAGCGGCGCGGCCGACATGCCGGCGGCGAGCGAACCGCCGCAGCGTGGCGCATCCGACGGACGATCCATCGGCACACCTGCGCGCCAGGTTTGGCACCGGAGAGGTACATGGACGCCAGGTCTGGCACCCGAAAGGTACACGGATATCAGGTCCGACACCGAAGAGGTACACGGACAACAGGTCTGGCACCGGAGAGGTACACGGACAACAGGTTTGGCACCGGAGAGGTACACGGACGCCAGGTCTGACACCGGAGAGGTACACGGACGCCAGGTCTGGCACCGGAGAGGTACATGGACGCCAGGTCTAGCACCCGAAAGGTACACGGATATCAGGGCCGACACCGAAGAGGTACACGGACAACAGGTCTGACACCGGAGAGGTACACGGACGCCAGGTCTGACACCGGAGAGGTACATGGACGCCAGGTCTGGCACCCGAAAGGTACACGGATATCAGGTCCGACACCGAAGAGGTACACGGACAACAGGTCTGGCACCGGAGAGGTACGCGGACAACAGGTTTGGCACCGGAGAGGTACACGGACGCCAGGTCTGACACCCGAGAGGTACACGGACGCCAGGTCTGGCACCGGAGAGGTACACGGACGCCATGTCTGGCACCGGAGAGGTACACGGACACCAGGTCTGACACCGGAAAGGTACGTGGACGCCAGGTCTGGCACCGGAGAGGTACACGGACGCCATGTCTGGCACCGGAGAGGTACACGGACACCAGGTCTGACACCGGAAAGGTACGTGGACGCCAGGTCTGACATCGGAGAGGTACGTGGACGCCAGGTCTGGCACCGGAGAGCTACACGGTCGCCAGGTCTGGCATCGGAGATGTACACGGACGCGGACGCGGTGCGAGATGCCATGCCGTAATAAGCCCGTGTTGATCAAAACATGAGCGACACTCAGCCACCAGTCATTGGCATGCGGTACAGAAGATGCGCAGAGCGTCAAGTACAATAAACTGGAGGTAGAAAGGGGCGCATTGGCTGTATTAAGGCAGCGGGAGGCTCTCCGCCACGGATAAGCGATAAGAATATAAGATCAGCTCCTGCCAATAAACAGCAACGTCTCTAAGACCGCCGTCGCACGCGCCGGTATCTCAATCATGTTTTTTAATGGGCAGGGGAAACCCAGTGGGCAATAGAGGTCCACCTTAACGACGCCGTTGTCCGCGCTCCTTGCTCGGCCAATCATTACCGGCCTGGCGGGGCGTGCCTCTGGGGTCTCTAATGAGCAGATACAGAACATCACGCCATGGGCCGTGCAGGTTACCGTTCGGCCCGTCGGCGTCGACGAAGGTCAATCGCGCGCGGACGAACCGGCCAAAAGGCGAGATTGATTAAACCACGCGAACGGAACGAACGACGGAGGCACCGTGACATCCGGATGGGTAAATCGACCCTGGGAGATCGTCCCTGCGAACACGCAGGGCGGAAAATGACACCGGGCATCACAGAAAAGGACATGAAACTTTCGAGGACGTGTGGGAGTGGTGAGCAAGGTACCCCCCACCGGGAGATCGACGATGCATCAGATCGACACGAGGTGGCTGCTACGCCACGCCCTGTGCACTTCCAACGTCCAGCCGCCGGTCCCAACACAGCCGCCGCACGTGGGAGTATGAAAACGGCCAACTCTTTACAACAAACCATAAATCAGACGCAGAACACAGCCGCAAAAACGTCCGCACAGAGCGACCGACCAACAAAGCGACGAAAGTCTCACTCGAAACGACGACAGAAAGTCGCGCTGCACACGGTGGCAAGAGCTGACCACGCTCGCCAGCCGAGGCGCCGTCTTCGCCACCCCAGGCGCTACGCTCATCGGCACAAACACCGTTCTCATCAACAGATAACGTCCCCACCAGCGAACAACATCCTCACAAGCTCAGACACTGTTCTAACCAGCTCAGACACTGTTCTCACCAGCCCAGACACTGTTCTCACCAGGCCAGACACTGTTCTCACCAGCTCAGACACTCCTCACCAGCCCAGACACTATTCTCACCAGGCCAGACACTGTTCTCACCAGCTCAGACACTGCTCTCACCAGCTAGACACTGTTCTCACCAGGCCAGACACCGTTCTCACCAGCTCAGACACTGCTCTCACCAGCTCAGATACTGTTCACACCAGCCCAGACACTGTTCTCACCAGCTCAAACACCGCCCTCCCCCGCCACACACGGTTCTCACCGATGACGAAGAAGAGCCTGCTGGCGCTCTGGAAGCACGAATGCAGTCCCACCAGGAACGGGTGGTTGGACGCCGTCTCGAACACGTGCTTCTCGGTCTGGACCCAGTCGATGTCCTCGTCGTCGGTGACCAGCTCCTTCTTGATCACCTTCATGGCGTAGACGCGCTTGGTGCGCTTCAGCTCGACCATGAGCACCTTGGCGTAGCTGCCGCGGCCGATCACGCGGATCAGCTCGAAGTCGTTCAGCGAGTACTGCCGCTGGCCGCCCGGCTCCAGCTCTGCCGGCGGCGGCCAGGTCGGGTCACGCGCCGGATCGGGTCAGCGGGACAGCGCGGGAGGGGGGGGGGGCAGCGACACCACTGGAGCACGTCATGCAGATGCGTTGGTTGGTTAGTTACTGGGTTTAAGGGCGCATTGACTGCGCTGGTCATTTACGCCTCATGAAGGTTTGCGCGATTGGCCCGCAACCCAGTATCGTGACTAAACGATGCATCCGATGTGATACGGTGATAGTGAAACGGCCGCCGTATCACTGGGTGGATACGGAAAACGCACAGATAATCGTTGGCTGTTGAAAGGCGTTCGGAGCAGCTCACTGCCAGCTGTTTAGCTTGTAAAATAGCAAACAGCGTGATGGCAGGCTTCCACCTGGCGTCACACGTGACGGGTCCGATCCCTGAGCATGGACCATCGGTGATCAGGTCCCACGGCGCATAACCCTGGCTTCGTCCACTCCCTAACACTCCCCCGTCCCGGCGCGGCGTCCCTGGAGCTACAGCCGCCCAGTCGACCGTTCGCCCCTTCCCTCCCCTTCCCCCTGCCAGCGCTCGAAGGGCCACGCAGGCGGCTGTGGCGGTCCCGCCTAGCGCCCTCGCACGAGCCGACCGGCGCGGCCGGCGCGCCAGCTTTAGCGCCCACCTGGGGATCGATGGAAACGACCCGAGGGGCCACCCTGGCCGCCGCCACTACCGCGACCCGAGGCGAAGGCCGGCGACAGCGGACCGGGCCGGCCCGACCGGCAGCGACCGGGGGCGGACCGTCGGCCACCGGTGGCGGCCGGGGGTAGACGAGCGGCTACCGGCGGCGGCCGCAGGCGGATGGTCGGCCACCGGTGGCAGCCGGAGGCGGACGGGTGGCCACCGGTGACAGCCGGAGGCGGACGGGCGGCCACCGGTGGCAGCCGGAGGCGGACGGGCGGCCACCGGTGGCGGCCGGAGGCGGACGGGCGGTCACCGGTGGCGATCCGGGCCGTGACGGCTCCGAGACCCGGAGTCTTCGGCGGACCGCGACTACCAGCAGCGGCAGGGGACGGGCTGGGACCTCCCCACGGCCCCGGGAGCTGACAACGTGCACAGCTGACGCCGCGCCACACCGAGACCGGCCACAGCCAGGCTGGCGTCCAGCCGTGGGGCAGCCGACCGGTCACCGATGGCCGTGTGTCAGTGGCCAAGCGACTCCAGCTGGCGGCACTGACCAAAGCTCCAGCGAAGGCAAATGGTCCTGTTCCGCGCAGAAGGTGGCTCCCGGTAATGCCCGGTCAACGGCGCGCTGCTGCGTGTGGCATCGAACCGCCGAATACCCATCGCATTCACTCTCGATGGCGCCAAATGAGCACGGACCACGCGTGGGGCCACGGAACCATGCGGACCACGGACCACGGCCCGTGGCGTTCCAAACCGAGCAGCCCCGCCCCCTCCCCTCCCTGTCATAACCCACGCACCTGGCGACCGCTCGGCGCACCGCTGTCCGGCCCGGGACAGCGGCGCTCCAGGTCCCCGAGGATTAATACTGCAAGCCACTCCAACTCCATCAAGGACAAGCCGGCGGTGTACACAGCCGGGCGCGCAAACAAGCCGCCCGCCACCGACAGGCAAACAACACTCTCGCACGGGGACAGACCACCGCCGCCGCCGCCGTCGCCGGTCGACGACGCGATGCATCGCCGGGGGCGATAGCGAGCGACGGCCGACGCCGTTCCGGGCGCGAGGTTTTGCGCGCGCCGGGGTGCCGAGCTGTGCGGGAGTCCACCACCTCAGGCAGCCGAGACTCGGCGCCGCGCGGCCGGAGCTGGCTTGGCTTCCGCGTCCCCGCGAGCCTGAGCTTCGCGGCACCGCCGCTGTCTCGGCCGACGGCGCCGGCGGCCGGCCGTGGCGGGGGCGCGCGCACCAACAGCCTCCGCCGGATCTGGCCGGTCACAAGTGACCCGGGCCGTGGCCAAGACCGGACCGGCGGCGGAGCGGACGCCGGCGAGCCGTGAGCAGCGCGCGCGCACACCGTCGCAAGTCTGCCGCGGCTCCGACCTGTTCCGGACATCGGGCTGCACGTGTGTGGGGCTCTACGTCTGCATCGCTTTGCGAGCCTCCAGAGAAGCCTGTGGATCCTCACCCCCACCCCCTCCTTCCACCCACCCCTCCACCCGTGGCTGAGGGCCGAGCACGCACCCCCGAGGAGCACTGTGTTGCCTGCCAGCGGAAGTCCGCGTCACTTTGCGGGCCCATCGATGAAGACCTCCATCACCTTGCATGTCCCATCGCGCGGCTGCGCGTCGCCGCCACGCGCCATCACTGAAATGTACGCCGCCGGGGGCGACAGCCGAGACAGCCGGGCGCGGCCGCCCCCCGGCAGCGCTGAGATACAGTGGCGTCGGCCTCCGGCGACGCACGAGACGGAGCGCCATCCATTAGCGCCCGCCACCGCGGGGGGCGTGAAACGAGCTGCCGTCGCCGTCGCCGCCGCCGCCGCCGCCGTCGCCGTCGGGAGCCTGGCCCCGGCCAGCTTCGGCGGCGGCCGGCTGAGCGGGGAGGCCGTGTTCACGGGCCGCGGGCGACGACCGGCTTCAAAGGAGGCGCAGCCGGGCTGCGCTCGGACGCCGGGGCGGACCGCGACACCGGGCCGCCCTGGGGCCGCCCTGATCAGGTCGGGAGTCGCACCATAACAGACGCCGGACCGAACGGGAGGGCGGGCGAACGAACGGCCCGCGGCAGCCAGCAGCAGCTGCCGACGCCGACTTCACGGGCGGCACCGTGTCGCCGTGCTTTAAGACCACGACCAGGCTAGACATGTGAGGTTGCATCAGCAGTCCCCGGGCCATAACCTCCCATCAAACATGGGGGGTTATGGCTCGGGAAATGCTGACGCAACTGACAAACAGCGCCTCACGGTTGTCGCGCCACTGCCCCCATCCCCCACCCCTCTCTCCACACATCCATACCAGGCTCCCATGGCGCGTTTGCAGCGCTGGAGTCTCAGACGCTGCAGCATCCCGTGCTCAGTGGCACCACTCGACGCGATACGAGCCCCGTGGCATGGCCATCAAACTTAACGTTACCGGCCAGCCGCGCCGTAGCTGACGTCACTGCGCCGTTTCGCTGGGCGGCCTCGCCATCGGTGCCAGTTGAGGGCACGCGGCCTCTGACGTCAGTACCGCCTAATGACGTCATACAGCCCCAGCGACGTCAGACATCAGCCGCGTCATTTCGGCAGCCGATCGTTGCAGGTTTGGTGGGGGGCGGGGGACGGGTGTGCACCAAACCACACCTATTGACGCCGGTTCCATCCATCCCGGCGTCGCCATCCTCCCCTCCCCCCCCCCCCCCCCTGGTGCCGGCATCCTGTCGGACCCCTTCCCCTAGCGTCGATACGCTTTGCGCCCCTCCCCCCTTCCCCAGCCGCCGCCGACATGGCGTCGGCCCCCCTGCCCCGGCCTCAACACCCTTCCCCCTCCCCTTGGCGCCGACACCCTTCCCCTCCGCTGGCACTGACACCCTGTCGGTCCCCTGCGCCCGGGCGCCGGCGCGCCGTCCCGGGGCGCCTGCTGACCTGCCGACGGCGCGTCCACGCTGACCACCTCGGTGGGCGCCGAGGTGGCGTCCTCGATGGGCAGCGGCACGTGCGCCTTGGTCGGCGGCACCACGCTGGTCGCGTCTGCAACACACGCCAGGGTCGACAGTGACACATGCAGACGCCAGCTCAGACAAGAGCGCGCGGCGAACGGCGAGCAGCAGTGGGCGACGCCTCCGCGACACAGACACGCATCACGCCACGCTCGGCCCGACAGGTCACCGCGACGAGAGCCCGACGCGGGACAATGGGGACGAGCGCTTACGGAGAGGTAGGAGAGGAATCAGCGGGGCAGAGCGCAATAGCGATCGCGCTGGAAATGCACCCGGAAATGCACCCGGTCCGCGCTGGAAATGCACCCGCCACTCGCTCCAGCATGAGTTGTTCCGAGAGCATCGACTCGCCTGCCTCTCCGCCGACAGCAGCATCACATGCATTACTCGCCGCGTTTCGCTGGAAGACGTTCGTCATGCATACAGCACGAATTCACCACGGCCGCAACGTGACAAGAACGACACCCACTTCCCAGTCAGACGAGCGGAGGCCGAGGGCGTGGGCGCGGCGGAGCGGGGCCAATCCCGTGGCTAATGTCGAGCCCATTCCAGTCAGCAACTCCTCGACGTCCGGACGACACATCGACTTGGCAGTGGGCCGGCGCCCGCAGCGGCCCACAAACGGCCGTCGGGCCCGCTTCGAATGCACGCCCAATCACCAGCTGACTCGGCCGAGCGGCGTGTTTGGACTCGTCGCAAAGGTCAGCACAGCCGCGGGCCAGTGTCGCCGATGAAAATGGTGCCCCGATGGCCGCGCCCGACGGGGCGCCGCGTCTGGACGCGGTCGGGTCGGGGTCACGCCGGGGTCGGGTCGGGGTCGGGGCGGACAAGTGGCTGGACCACGCGCGGCCAGAGAAGCCGAAACGCCAGGCGAGCCCCGCATAGAACAGTCTCCGCCGGATGAGATGCTATGCAGTGGGATTAAATAGGCCCATCTCGTGCCCCATTTTGGGATGCCAGGCCGGCCTGGTGAGAGACGCGCAACGTTCGCCACTTGGTCTTCCCAGGGGCTGCCCACAGAATGGCGAAGAGTTCATTTTTCCGTTCCACATCAAGTGGCTAGTGTACACCTTACGACATTGAGCTATTTGCAGAAGACAGGTTAGGACTGAACCAGCTAGCCCACAAGACCAGCGAATATCGTTAGCAGCTATGTTATATAAATGTGATCAAAAACAGGGGAGAGCCAAATTCGGTCATCACGTCTTAAAATGAAGATTGAGCACCAAGTAGGCGGCATTGCGCCCTGTTCACGATCGCACCCCGAGTGAGACGTACTGAAGATGCCCGGAGGGCTGAGGGTCCTCTCCTCCGCGTCTGCCAGCACCCCCGCCGCGGGCCGCAGCGTAGGTCCCCACAGCCGACCCACCGGTCCCCTGACCTCCCACCCTGATCACGCCTTCCCCGCCGTTCGGCCCCGTCCGGCGGGTGCACTGCCCGGCGGGTGCGCTGTCCGGCGGGCGCGCTGTCCGGCGGCGTCGAGCGGACGTGCTCGCGTGAACGCCACCGTCGTCCAGTATTATCAGCGGCTGGGGCCGCGCACGCGACGCGAGCTCCGCAGCCGCCCGGCGGCGGCGGCGGCGGCAGGTAGGGTGACGCCGGGGGCACCCATACGGACGTCGATTCACCGCCCCGAGGACGCCGCTCGTGCCGCGCACCGTCTTACAACCGGTCGCGAGACGCCTCTAACGGCCAATTAGGCCCTGACAGAAGCGGCGGCGGCGGAAGCGTGCGGGCCGGGCCCTGTTAGCGCACGCTGGCTCCAGGACTTGAGCAGCGCAGCTTGTACTGATCCGTGAGAGCTCTCCCCGATCAAGCCAGACCCGGCAGCACAGCTAGTCCGGTGTGGCTGATCGAACCTTCGGGTTCAATTTTAACAACTCCACAATGTCGGACATTGTTGAATGACGTCGCCCCGCGTCCGTCACAAGGAAGGCGTGCGAACGACAAGCGAGCACTAGCTGTGCGGATCAGCCACCCCGGGACGTGGCTGACGAGCGTCGGTTGACCTCGCGACGAGCGGATGAGGCCGCAAAACACCGCGCGCCATCCGTTTGTTCCTAATCCATCACCAGCATCGGGCGGCGGCAGCCCGGGACAAAGCCGGGATGAATGGATCGTCCCGCGTCCGACGGCGGGCAGGAAGGCCCGCCGCCGGATCCACCGGAGACGCCGCGCGACGGAGCTGCATCCGACGTCATACCGCCGCGACGCGATCGGCGACGCCGCCACAAGCCGGGGCGGCTCGCGCTCCGCCGGACCCGGAGGGTGGAGCCCCTAGCGCCGTCGGCGCGTGGCGGCCGTCTGTCCACTCACGCGTTCGTGCGCGGTGGTGGCGCGAGGCGAGGTGGCAATTAGCGTTATCAGCACCAGATGGAGCGGGAAAGGAAGGTCTCGCAGCGCTTCTTTTTCACAGACACAGAACCGCAGCACCGCCCTCCATCAACAAGACAACGGAGCCACTCTCCCATGGCAGCAGCAGAACATCATCACCCCTCCCTCGCCGTAACAGGACAGCGCAACCCCTCCCCAGCGTGACATGACACCTCACCACCAGCTTCCTTCAGTCGCAGGAGAGTGTCACCACGACCACGCCCCCGCGCGCGCCCCTCACCGGGTGGGAGGGCATCCCGCTCGCCGTTCGCCGAGTCGGTGCGCAGGTGCGTGGGCGGCACGATCTCGCCAGTGCACTTGTTCTTCAGCAGCTTGTGGCACTTCTTGTGGATGAGCAGCTTGCACTGAGTGCACTTGAAGCCTTGCCGGCCCAGGCCCCAGATCCGGTCGGCGCAGTAGGCACACGCCGCGCTCTGTGGAGAAGAGAGGCGGCGGTCAGACGTGAGGGGCGGCGGTGAGAGAAGAGGCGGTGAGCAGTCATGTGGTGAGAGGTGAGACGGTGTGACGGTGAGAGGTATGGCGGTGGCAGGTGAGGTGGTTAGAGGTAAGATGGTGAGACGATGAGGGGTGATGTGGTGAGACGGTGAGAGATGAGGCGGTGAGACGGTGAGAGATGACGCGGTGAGACAGTGGAAGGTGAGGCGGTGGTACGGTAAGAGGTGAGACCGTGAGAGATGACATAGTGAGAGGCGATGCCGTGAGATGCGAAACGGCGACGACGGCACACTCGGAGTCGGAAGGATCGTTCAGTGTTGCTGTTACCCCACGTTGATGAATGCGTCTAACGTGGCGCACCGATTAGCGTGATGGGCTTTGGCGTGAACGCCCTGAGTAGGTGCGCGATGATTCATGATGTGGCCGTGGTGTGCAACAAGGGTCAGAGACAGCCACGGTTAGACGAGGTCAGAGAATTCTGGTCAACTAAGGCCGGAGTGGGTGAATGCAAACAGTCTAACACACACAACACAGCCATCTGATTAAACCTTACCACTCTGTCACGTTCTATTTTGTTATAAAGTCTAAAGCCATCGGTCGCACCTGCGATTCAACCACAGCACACTATTGTCATAATCGAAAAGGGCCCACTAAAAAGCGGACAACAAGCGACCCTTTTACACAGAGTACGGATACGCACCTGCGATACAACCACAGCACACTATTGTCATAATCGAAAAGGGCCCACTAAAAAGCGGACAACAAGCGACCCTTTTACACAGAGTACGGAGCGAGCCAGCGTCGAGACTTGGGTGAAGCCAGGTTAGGATCGCACCCTTCGGTCCCGCCCACTGCCCCGACCAGCATCTGGCCAGTAAGTCGCGTACGAACATGATGGGTGAAGTGACACGCCTCCTCATCGTGGCAATCACAGCGCCGGTCCGATTACGAGCGGCTTCTTTTAATCACAGCACGGTCCGTTATAGTCAAGCTCTAAATCGAGGGCGGTCGACTAAAAGCTTAGATTATCGCTAACCGCCCGGCAAACAATGAAGAATGCTTCGCAGGTAACGTCGGATGCTTGCTCAGTACATCACTGGCACTCTCCAATTGCATTCAGCGTAGGTGTTGACCGAAGACTGCGCGAAACTAAAACGATCGCCGCCCAGTGAACACTAAAATGACCGCTGAACTTGCTATAATATGAGCGTTTCCATTCTTCAGCGGCAACATTCCAATGTTTTATCGTCGGTTTTATAGGACTTTTGCATGTTATGTAAAGTATAATTACTTGGTTATCGGGTATCGCCAGGCGCGCTGTGAATAATAAATCACAATACGATCCATAATGCTCTGGAATCCATTTGCACGGGTCACTGGATACTTCATTGATTAGCCCAGGTCCAGCTGGCCCAATGAGCCGCTCGGGTTGCGCCCGCCCTCACAAGGCCACGGCCGGACACCGCACCCCAGCTGTCCCTTCTCAACCACTGCTCCCTCCGTTCCAACCGGTCGGCTCGGCGCGGCGCGAGCGGTGACCCATTCCGGCGCGGCGCGAGCGACTATCTCCCCCGGCGCGGTGAGAGCCGTGACCCATTCCGGCGCGGTACGAGTGGCTATCTCTCCCGGCGCGGCGCGAGCCGTGACCCATTCCGGCTCGGTACGAATGGCTATCTCCCCCGGCGCGGCGAGAGCCGTGACCCCTTCCGGCTCGGTACGAGTGGCTATCTCCCCCGGCGCGCCGAGAGCCGTGACCCATTCCGGCGCGGTACGAGTGGCTATCTCCCCCGACGCGCCGAGAGCCGTGACCCATTCCGGCGCGGTACGAGTGGCTATCTCCCCCGGCGCGGCGAGAGCCGTGACCCATTCCAGCTCGGTACGAGTGGCTATCTCCCCCGGCGCGCCGAGAGCCGTGACCCATTCCGGCGCGGTACGAGTGGCTATCTCCCCCGGCGCGCCGAGAGCCGTGACCCATCCCGGCGCGGTACGAGTGGCTATCTCCCCCGGCGCGGCGAGAGCCGTGACCCATTCCGGCGCGGTACGAGTGGCTATCTCCCCCGGCGCGCCGAGAGCCGTGACCCATTCCGGCTCGGTACGAGTGGCTATCTCCCCCGGCGCGGCGAGAGCCGTGACCCATTCCAGCTCGGTACGAGTGGCTATCTCCCCCGGCGCGCCGAGAGCCGTGACCCATTCCGGCGCGGTACGAGTGGCTATCTCCCCTGGCGCGGCGAGAGCCATGACCCATTCCGGCTCGGTACGAGTGGCTATCTCCCCAGGCGCGGCGAGAGCCATGACCCATCCCGGCGCGGTACGAGTGGCTATCTCCCCCGGCGCGGCGAGAGCCATGACCCCTTCCGGCGCGGTGCAGACGGTGGCCCTTCCGGCGCGGTACGGCTGGCTATCTCCCCCGGCGCGGCGAGAGCTGTGACCCCTTCCGGCGCGGTGCAAGCGGTGACCCCTTCCGGCGCGGTGTGAGCAGCCATCTCCTCCGGCGCAGCGAGAGCCGTGACCCCTTCCGGCGCGGCGAGAGCGACAACCTCCTCCAGTGCGGCGAGAGTCGTGACCCCTTCTGGTGCGGTGCAAGCGGTGACCCCTTCCGGCGCGGTGCAAGCCGTGACCCCTTCCGGCGCGGCGCGAGAGGTGACCCCTTCCGGCGCGGTGCAAGCCGTGACCCTTTCCGGCGCGGTGCGAGCGACAACCTTCTCCAGTGCGGCGCGAGCCGTGACCCCTTCCGGCGCGGCGTGAGCAGCCGCCCCTTCCGGCGCGCGGTCGGCGGCAGAGCCTGTGCGCCGCCGCCGCGCCGAATGACAAACTAATGGCCAGCCGGCCGGCTGATTGGGAATTCGATGAACGGCAGAGGCCGAGCGGAAGCGCACCTCATCCGGAGCGGAACGAAATCCCAGCGGCGGGAGGGCGGGCGCGCCGCGGCCGCCGGCGGCCTCATCTGAATACGCCCCAGCCCGCCGCGGGGCCAGCCGCGCTGGCATTGACGCGGTGCGGTGCACCGAGTGCGCGGGAAGCGGCGCCGTTTTCACAGGAGTGCTCCATTATTTAGCGCGAGTGTCCCTGCACGGCGCCGAGTTCGCGGTCCGTCCACCAGGATCGGCAGGACTCTGGGACGGTGGACGGCCGTCCGACGGCGCCTCTCGGTGAGCGCAGCGCCAGGACGCCGGTGAACGGGGGCGGCAGCGCCGGCGCAGCGGCGCAGACGGCCCCGCTTGGGGCGTGGGTGAGGTGGCCCATCCCAGACGTGGTCCAGGAATGGACCATTAGCGACGGTCCGCCGAAGGCCACCCAGCAGCCGTGACCTCGGCGGCACCCGCGGCAGAGTCGGGCGACGGCGCGGCACAGAGCCACGGCGGGCCAGCTTATGACGGCTTCTGCCATCGATCCCAGGTCAGGAGTGGCAGGAGCGCCGGCCGGCCGGCCGGCCGGCTGACTCGGCCTCGGCGACGGGGCTGCCCTGGACTGGCCCGCGACCCAGCGGGACCGTAGGGTCCCGGCGACGGGTTACGGTCTCGCGATCGACCCAACCGGTCGGCGGACAGAGGCGGACAGCCCAGTGACGAACAGAGCGCAACGAAAGTCTAGAAGAGGACGATGGGAAGGCAAGGAGGAGAGGCGAAGGGGTTACAAGATTTCGGCGCACAAGTTATTGGGGACGGTAAGATTGCGGGAAAGAAGAGCATAACGTAAAAGGAAGAAGCGCTGGGTAAGAAGAAACGGCAGGATCACTAGAGAACGTGTAGGGGACAAGGAAAAGATAATATGTGGAGGGCGGGGAGCCAGGTGTGGGACACCATGAGGACAAGGGGACGACTGTGCACAGACAATGAGCCAGCCGGAAAACAAGGGCAGAGCGACAGCAGGACAAGAGGACAAGCCGAGGATAAGGTCTGTCACTCTTCCGTTGGGGATTGCGGCGATGACGAGTTTAGCTCCAGATGCCGTGGCAGACTGACTACAGACTCCAGACAGGACCAGAATAGGAGCGCCTCTGGCTGGGACGCCGACACCGCCCGCCCAACTTGGCGAGGACGCCGAACAACGCCAATACGGACCGCAGCATGGCCCGCGCGTGCCGGCAGTCAGGCGGCGTTCGTTCGAGTGGGGTATGCATGCGATATCGACTGAGGCCCACTTATCTAGGTCATTTAAAGTCACGCGCTGTGGAAGTATGATATATGAACGCATTGCGTGAGTTAAGGGCATTACCCGCACGCGATGTCACGGGCATTTATGCATTGACGTCAATGTTGGCCGCCCCTACAAGAGTCTGGGTCAAGTCATCTCGGCGCTCCCGACCAGTGGCGCAGTCAAGGAGGGAGCTTAAGCCCCTCGACCACCCCAGTCAGGTTGGAGCGGTTATTCATCACTACACTACACTACACTACAGACACTACGGAACATAATGTCGAAATCTGGTGACCAGGAAAACTGTTTGGGCAAGAAATATCATGGCCACTACCATGGGCAGCGACATGTATGGCCCAGCAGACGTAATTTGGTAGCAGGACTAGCGAATAGCCGAGGGAATGTGCACGGAACGCAGCTGGAAGAATTGCATAAGGCACCAGGGCAAACGTAAATCGATAGCCCATTAATACGCTAGGTGCTGTACCTATCATCGTTTGTGGGGTTTGTTAACCTGTGCGAAGTGCGTACGTTATGTCAATGAGTCTGGGACCGCTCCTAAAACATTACCTCCCCCCCCCTCCCTTGCAAATCTTGGTAGCTCCCCGTCGCCAATTCTGGCTGAGCCTCTGCTCTCGACTCTGTCTCGTGCCCAGGACCCACTCAATCTACAGTTCACGCCCTGAACGCCCAAGAGCTGTAAAATGTCTTCGGATCAGGTGCGCAGAGCAGGCGCCAGGCCGCCTCGGAGAGCCAGAACACTGCCGGTCATTCCGGGCATAGGACAGTCGCTGCAGTCTGCCGTCTTGGGTCGGTCAGGCAAATGACAGGTCCACACAACAGCAACGGGAACGCGGCCCAAACACTGCTGTTTGAAACGAATGAGCTCCTAAAAAAGCATTGAAAAGAAGCCCACCGAAAAACTGTTGTTTTTGTTTAGTTGCATGCGTAGAAAGTTGCGTCATTTCCTCCGGCGCGCTTTATTGTATCGTGCCGTCTGCCGTTCACCCCTAACGCTGCAATGCCGCTGCAAAGTTCCGCTTCAGCATGGGGCTCGTGGGAGGCCTGTACGGAATACAGGCAGCAGCAATGCGACGCGGCGCTCGCGTCCCAGCCTTATGACAAAGTGAGCTGAAGACCCCACTGTGAGCTGAAGACCACAGGTGGCGCCGTTCCACTGTGTCTGCACTAGCTGAACTTGAAAAGCCGCCTAGCATTTAATATTCCTCCTCGCTCTAGAATTCGTGATCTGTTTTGATACGCACAACTCGTTCAACAGGCACAACTCAGGCAAACGTCAGGACTCACCCGGTTAAAGCGTTTGGCCTGGAAGATGTGCCCGTTGACCTTGTAGAGCTTGCGCCACCGGCGGGCCCCACGCCGGTATATGCTACCTGTCGACACGAACACGCCAGGTCAGAGCAGGTCACGCCCTCCGCTGGGCGGCATGACGTCACAACACGTGCCCGCCGGACGAAGCACGCTCGGAGGGCGTGGAGGGGACAATTGGCTCGCGCCCGCCGGCGGACTGAGGCCACTTCCCTGACACCGACGGCCGCCCCGGCACACGGCAGCGCCGAGCCGCTGGGTGGTGGCGCGTGGCCATGTCAAACCTGTCCGCGAAGGGCTCATACACGCGCGCTGGCCCCAAATCAATGGCGGAGCACCGCCGTCGGCCGGATCACGCCAGATCCTACAAATACGGGCGGGTTAGCATCAGGCTTAGGTTTGGTGCGGACTGTGGACGCTGTGGGTGGTTTGCGTCGAGTTCGCGGCGCTGGTGGATGTCCCACCAGCGCCGCTGAATTCTCGCACGAACCTGCGCCAACCCAATGACAGTATCTCCCATGGCGTGTTTCCGCGCCTGTTCGCTTTTCCACGTGCGGAAACACAAACCCACACAACTGACGCCAGCACCCTGGCGCATGAAAGACTCGCAACGGTCACCACTTTCCAATGTTGTTCCCTTCCTCTTGACTGTACTCTCCCTCACATCCGTCACCTTCCTCCTAGCTGCCATCTTGTCCCAACTGTCACATCAGTCCCTGTTGTCAAATTGTTCCCGGCCGTGACCTCCCTCCCGGCAGTCACCTCCTCCCAGACGTCATCTTCCGCTCAGTTGTCTTCCCCTGGTTGACCTCTTCCTCCCAAACGTCACCCCCTCACAGCGGTGCCCCCCCCCCCTTATCGGCTATACTTGTCCTCCGACAGGCAACTTCCCCCCTCCCCCCACCTGTCACCTCTCTCCCCGCTGTACTCTCCCTCCCAGCTGTCATCTCTCTCCCAGCTGTCCCCTCCCTCCGAGCAGTCACCTTACTCCCAGCCGCCCCCTTCCTCCCATATGTGACCTCTCTCCCAGCTGTTCCCTCCCTCCCAGCGGTCACAAACTCCCAGCGCCAACTCCCCCCCCCCCCATTTGTCATCTCTCTCCCATCTGTCACCTCTGACCCATCTGCCACTTCCCTCCCAGCTGTCCCCTCCCCCCTCCCAGCTGTTCCCTCCCTCCCAGCAGTCAACTAAGACTGCCTGCCTGCCACACTCGCAAGCCCGAGGCTACCCCGCGTCCTGCGCAGCCATCTCAGCCGCGGTCATGTGTCGCCACCAGCGAGTGAGCCAACTTCATCAACTCAAACGACCACTTGACGCCGCGCTCAAAAGTTAATGCTCGTTAGTTAACGCTCATTTCCAATTACCAGCGAGCGGTTCCCGCAGTCGGGCCCCATTTAATATCCGCCCCAATATCACCGCATGTTTTGACCGGTTGGTTCAGCTCCATGGTGGACGAAGCCTCCAAGACTAGTCAAGCGTTGCAGCTGGCACCAAAGAAACGACTCGTGGTGTAAAGACCAACACAGGGACATCGCGGCGACACCTCGTTGCCATGGGAACCACAGAAACAAACGACCTAGTCAAGACATTTGCAGTTCGCTCACGAACCATGGCGCACGGTTATTCATCCTGCTTTAAAAATGAGCACAGCGCGCGCCGTTACCTGCACCCAATTCTAGCGTGATCTTGCGGAGCCTCGGCCCTTGCTCCGTGTCGGCTCTGTCTGACGCAGCCTCTGGGCACGTGAGAGGTCAGCCCGCCGCTGACCCGGCCCGCGCCTGGCGTCCCCTCGGGCGTCGGACGGGGCCGGGCGACGCCGGCGCCGCTCCCGAGTGCCCCAATGAGCGTGTCCGCCGACCAGCCACCGACGCCGATAACGACAGCGCCGGAGGGGCCGCGCGTGATCATCGTCAGCTCTCCCCCCTCCCCCGAGTCAGCTCCGTCCCTCCCTCTCTCTCGAACTGTCGCTCTCTCCTCCGATGGCACAGGCCTCTTCGTCAAGCCCGCTCTCGGGCTGGGGCGATAGCGGCTGCACGTCGGTGCCACCGCATTCAACAAACGACCGGTCGACTTTACGAAGTGGGGCAATCAACATGCCCGGCCTCCTCGCTCCCATCCACCGATTCAGCTGGGTCTGGGAACCCAAATCGAAGTCTTTTCAGTGTCTTGGACTAACCAGAAATAACTGGAAATATCGAGAAAACGTTGCGTTGGTAGTGAACTTCTCCAATAAATCAATTCGTTGGAGGCGCAACTTCAGGATATGTTGCGTCTAAGCTGATTGATGTATATTACATCAGCAAGTTGTTGGAGATGAAAAGGAACTTCGAATATAAGAGCAACGCCTCAAGTAAAATCAAAAACCCTTCGAATACATCGGAATAAAATGCAACGAAGGAAATGCGCTGAGCCCAATAACAAACGTTTCATATTACATACACGTATCGGCGGTCGCATCACGAGCAATCACACTTTCAAATTCAAGTTGATCAAAAGGTGTTAAAACTGTTCACTAAATACCGTGATTGCCTTGATCAGTTGCTTTGAATGCGTCTTGATTGCCTGGGAATTGGGCATATCGATATCGTATTGTTGGTGAAACGATGCTATTGGGGGAATAAAGGCTTTGTACGTATGTATGTATGTATGTATGTATGTATGTATATATATATATATATATATATATATATGTGTGTGTGTGTGTGTGCGTATTGTATATATATATATACATATATATATATATATATATATATATATATATATATATATATATACAAAACCTTTTGCCGAATGAGGTTAAACAAAATATAGGGTCGATTGAGCTTGCTCAGAAAAAGCCCATCCAGGATAAACAGCATGAGAGCCCTGTCCCGAACCTGGCCGTCTCTCTTACAGGAGCTAAATGCATTGTCCCTTCAGCGAACTGGTCCCTTCAGCGAACTAAATGCGTGGTCCCGTGAGCTGCGAACCGATAGCCCTCAGAGGCTGCGCCTCTGCAGGCTGGTCACACCTTCCCGTTTCTCGGGGATGCGCTACAGCTTGAGCCGATATATCCATAGCTCTTTACTCACCCAGAGGCGGAAAAAACAGCCGTCAGCCAATCTCTCCTCTTTGCATGCAACCAAGGTTCGGAAGCCCAACTGATCGTTTCTCACCGAGGAACTGCGCCCTGGCAATCAACAGCCCACTTGCATACGGAGCGAACTCCCGAGCTGGCAGCGAACCATCCCTTCCCCGGGCCCGCTCCACCTGCCGCCGCCCTGTTTCGGCCCGGTCGGGAGGACGCCACGCCGCGCTGGGCCCGCTCCCCCCCGCGGCGGAGGATCGCCCACGCCTTGCCACCGCCACCGGCGGATCAGCGGCCCGACGCCAGCCGCAGCCGACCCGGCGCAGACGACGCCCGCTCCACCTGCCGCCGCCCTGTTTCAGTCCGGCGGGGAGGCCGCCACGCCGCGCTGGGCCCGCTCCCTCCCGCGGCGGAGGATCGCCCACGCCTTGCCACCGCCACCGGCGGATCAGCGGCCCGACGCCAGCCGCAGCCGACGCAGCGCAGACGACGCTTCAAACAAAGCCTGCATTATGCATTCGGCCGCCGCCGCCGCCGCCGCCGCCTGGAATACCAGGCGGCCCGCGGCCCGGCACCGCGGCCGGACGGCCCGAGGGCGCACGCGGGGGGCGCGCGGGGGGCACGCGGGCGGCGCGCGGCAGCCGTCGGAGGCGACGCGACGACAGCGACATGCGCCGCGGCGGGGCGGCGCCGTGGGACGACGGGGGCTGTCGCGGCAGGCGCGCGCGGCCGGAAACAATGTGGGGCGAGCCCGGCTTGAGGAGCAGACGCGACAATGGCGAGGTGCCGGACGTCGCGAGAGGGCGGCTTAGGGGAGCGCGGACAGTCGCGTTATTGTCAGTGCGGGGCGCAGCGTGGGGCCCACGGCCAAGCGGACATTTAATGATACTGATGACGATGATGATACTGAATGATACTGATAATGATACTGGCGGACTGTATAGCACGTATCAAATGATCGCTGATTATTCGGAGCAGCTGCATGGCCTTCCTGAATGGCCCAACGGCGTGAGATTTGGACTGTCCCTGAAAGCATGCTAAAGGCCCCAACATCTGAGACGTTCTAGCAGCTCCCGCCGAGACCCACAACGGGGCCATTTTTCTCAAAAAGCACCGAGAATCCCACCCTTCGACCTGCCCACTCAGCGGTCTTCGAGAAACATCGATGCCCTGCCATGCGACACAAATCGAGGCTGACACTCAGTCATAATCAGATACGCATCATCTGATAGTAGTCAGCATGATTTTCTTTCTGAAAGGCTCTGTTTTACAAATCTTCTGGGGTTCATGGAGCATGTTACTAGTCAGGTAGATGAAGGCAATAGTTCAGATGTCGTTTAACTGGACTTTAATGAGGCGCTTGATAAAGTTCCACACCAGCGTCTCTTAGAAGATTCAACATGCACGGCATTGAGGGAAAATTGCTTGGCTAGGTAGGGTATGGAAGGATAGGGTACGTACTTTTGGGCTGTGTTCAATGGTACTAAATCCCAGTGAGAGGTAGTAGAGTGGGTTCCACAGGGATCGGTGTTGGGCCCTTTGCTCTTTAATATTTTTGTTAACAGTATTGAAATAGGATTAGAAAATAAAGTGGTTAAATTTCCTCATAACGTCAAACTGATAAGGGGTCTCGAAAAATGGAGACCAGATGAAACTTGACTTGGAGAAACAGGTGAGCTGGGGTTCCCTGTGCCAGATGTCACCTTATTATGATAAGCGTAAGGTGATGCATTAGGGCAGTTCTGGCAGCGAGGACATTAGCTATAAAATGGTATGCCAAGAGTCAGGCTACATCGAGAAAGAAAGGGAAAGGGAGAAAGGGACGAGGAAGAAAGGGAAAGGGACCGGTCGCCCGCGGTGGCAGCTGCCGCACGGCCGCCGGGGTGATGAGCTGCAGATGGAGCTGGCGGCCGACGAGCCAGACGCCTGGGATGAGCCGGGTCGCTCAGCGAGCCACGCCACCCAGCATGGTCGACACCCAATCAGTAGACAGGCGCTGAGGTCAGGACCCGAGCAACAAACTGAGATGAGGTCGGCACGTAGCCAGCCAAAGAGCTGAGGTTGGGGCTGTAGCAGTCAAAGAGCCCAGGTTGGGCCCAAGCAGATAAAGAGCTGAGGTTGGGACCCAACCAGCCAAAGAGATGAGGTTGGGGATTTGGCAGTCAGAGCTGAGGTTGGTGCCCGAGCAGACAGAGCTGAGGCTGAGGTCCAAGCAGACAAAGAGCTGAAGTTGGGGCCATGGCAGACCAAGAGAAGAAGTTGGGGCCCAAGCAGACGACCATACCTGGACCTGGACCCGAGCAAATATACTGCCAAGCTGGCACTCCCTGCTCAGGTCCCCGGAGTCAGGCCAGTTAGATACCCGACAGTCCGACACAAGCTGCGACTCAATTACCGTGAGCAGCCCACATGTCAAGCACAATGGCTTGAACTGGCGGGTTCTAGGGCTTATTCTGATATAAATGTCAACCCCACTCTCCCTGGCGAGCATTTCTCTGCAATTACTACCGCTGTGTGCGCCCCACAGACACCTAAATCACCAAGCATTTCTCTGTCATTACTACCGCTGTGTGCGCCCAACAGACACCTAAATCACCGATCAAAATAGTATTTGGAATCGTCGTGACCGGTCCATGTCGGTAGGCAATCATTCGGCAGATTCCCCTCCATCAAGTTACATACCTTATGACTGACATCTTGATATCATGTCGGCCGTTTCGTGTCGTGAATGGAGCTGGTGGGGGCCATTGCATGCGCTTAATACTCTAGATAGCATGCAGTTACAGCAAAACAATGGCGAAACCACACACTTGTTGGCAAGTCTGTCGGGATCTACGATAGGATAATCATGTGACAATCTATAACGACAAGCCGCCTTCACATACCATATACCCATGGCACTTTCAGCACGACACTAGATGCCCAGGACATTTGGACAAAACACGTTCCAAATCACAGAGGTCGAGCGCAGCTTGGTTAGGTATCAGGGAAGTGGTCTCCTGCCCAATATAGCCACAGTCCACGTTTGTTAAGCTTCTGCTGGGTGTTCCTCGAACCTTGCGGGCAGCCTGTCGTCTCTGAATGTGAGGAAGTGGTCTCCTGCTCAATGGAGCTACAGTCCACATTTGTTAAGTTTCTGCTGGGTGTTCCCCAACCCTTGCGGGCAGCCTGCCGTCTCTGAATGTGAGGCAAGTCAATGCCCGTGCAGTTTCCAGGCTTGGGTCCAGTTTTGCGGTTATGCTCACACAGACGGCAGCTGCTTACTCCGTTCACTCATTGAGCCAAACTACACACCGCTACCCTTTTGAGAAACAAAAACTGCGAAACCGGACCGCGACCGGCCTGCGGTTGTCATTAACTGCGAAGACAAAGCACCGCAAGGGGCATTTGGCTCGACCGATGTCCGTCACTTACGATCCTCTCCAGCGCAGGGCATCCCCGGTGCCGGAGGTATCCCGGGGAACACTGAAAGAGACAGGACGCAATCGTCAGTCTTTGAATAGGCTGTCGCAGCCGAACTCAGAACCTCATAAGCTGCACAGCTCATTTCGGGTGACGAGTTTGACCGCACCACACGGACAGCCACTTGCCAACACCCGCCACGCTGAACGCTCACAAAGTGACCACTAATCGCGACATGAATGACATGGAAGTTGATGCTTCTCGAAATAATCGAACAGCCCTCATGCTTCCAAATTCCATGACAAAGTCATCGAAGGTCGTACGCCGAACGGGCCGGCCACGCTGACCGGCCCGATGTCCGGGGTCGCGGCAGCCTGACCCAGGCCTGACCCAGCGGCCTGACCCAGCACCCTGACCCGGGCCTGACCCAGGCTCGACCCAGATCCGACCCAGCGGCCTGACCCCGCCGCTGGCCCGAGCCGGTGCGCAGCACTCGTCCCACCACATTAGCATGTCGTTTGTCTCGGGCCGGATTAGGGCGCATCCTACGGCATTAGCATCGGAGTCGACTGGGCCGCTGCGAGCGGGCCATCCACCCCGGGAGCCGGCAGCGGCGCCACGCCGTGACTGACGAGGGACGGCCGTCCGGCGACGCTGAACACACACACACCGGCTGAATTGAACAGCGTCGATCCCGACGTCACTCGGCTTTCAACAGCGCGCTGATGTTAACATAACAACGGGGCGTAGGGTCGGGGGCAGAAAAAGCCGCCGGATCACTGGCGCGCGGCGCGGGCGCCCCCGACGAGCCGCTCGTGCGATGTGCCGCGGTCCATACAGCAAAGGCCTCGAAGTCGTGAAAGACGGTTCCGAAGCCGCACTCAGTTCAGTTCATAAGACTTGTCAACAGAGCTGGAATGACGGGCTGCAGTGTGTGTGAACTAACGCCGCTGCAAGGATTGATAAAAAGCCAAAAGTTGAATTATTGTGGCGGGCTTGTCAACATCCACCATCTTGAAAGATAATCGTACAGTTCCTGACAACTGCCACCAGCGTTAATGCCTGTAGCAATTCTGAATTCAGAGACCGACCAAGTATCAAACAATTAAGGCTTCCCCAATTCAACAACCCAGCCAACTTAAAACACGGCTGCAGCTCATTAAAATCCTGCCTGTCTCAGTCCAGAATCGTGCAGCTACTTTGCAACCGTCGACGCTTTCCGCCAGCATATAAATGGGCAGAACCAATTAAGTAATGATGAATAATTACACAGATCAATTGACTCCCACCATGCAAGTGCTTTAGCGTTTCTGCAGCCTGTTACGTAGAAGTACCATAAACATTTTCATCGTAAAATAACCGCGCTATCACATTTTTCGGTTTTAATTCTACACGCATTCAATGTCTGCATCCCTTCAAGAAACAAACTTGCTGCGTCTGTCACGAGCCGGAACGTCTGAGACAACGCTCCTCCAGCCTCCAACACATCCAAGCCCGACACACAGCAAGGCAAGTCGCACGAGCGCCGAGCCCACGGGCCGCCATCCAGGCCGCCACTGCACAAGGCTATCACCGGAGCTCCCCCACCATCCAGCCCCCTCCCCCCCCCCCCTCCACTCTTGCGCACAGGCCATCACCGGAGCTCCCCTAAATCGAGGCCGCCCCCCCCCCTCCCCTACATACAGGTCACCATCGGAGCTCCGGTGGCTGTGACAGTTTGGGACCCAGAACACAGGGCGCTAGCCACCATCAGCCCCAGCAGCTCAGTCAGCCTTCGGGCCCGCGGCCCGGCCCGGCCCGGTCCCGGGCAGCGTGGCAGCTCGGCCATAGCAGGCCGACTCCGGGATTGGGCGCCATCAAGTGAGGCCCTTCGAGTCGGCCAACTTCTTCAAACAAGTTTTAACTCAATAGAAGTTTGAATGACTGCGGTGGTGGGCCAAGTCGCCGCAACAGCTCCTCCTTCGCGGATGCGCCAGCTGGCTTCGGTGAACCAAACCAAGCCGGTTCCGGACGTGGCCCGGCCGCGGCTTGGAGTGGTCCAAAGTGGTCCAGAGTGGTCCGCTTTATTGCCGGGAGGTCCAGAGTGGTTCAGTCGGACGCGGGAGGCTCCAGAGTGCACCAATCGTTCCAGAGGGCGGTTTTAGAGTGAAGAATGGTCAATGGCCTGATTCAGCGTGACCCGGGGGCGGAGGGGGGGGGGGGGCTGGGGGGCTCGGGCCGGCTCGGCCATAGTCCGAGACGCCTCAGGCTCCTGGGCCGGGCGGTAACGTGTAACGTTAATGTAACGTTTAACGTTTAACAGGCCGGGTGCCGTAACGTTTAACGTCCGGCGCGTTCGAGGTAAGACCTGGCGTTACCGACACGGCGGCAGTTAACCGCCGGAGCCGCTGAACGGAGCGGCTGTCTACGGCAGCCCCCACCATCAGCGAGCGTCCCAAGCAGCGTCACTGAGTCGGGCGGCCTCCAAGACCCCGGCACTACCGAAGATCGGCCAGAGCCGCTCTGAATACACAAAACCCTCAAGTGAGTCACCCGGCAAAAATGAAGAGCGGACGGCGTGCTACAGAATGCAGCTGAGAGGGAGATTTGGGCGATTGGATTCGTTGCATCGTGAGAGGTTAGGCTTTCACACCGACGGCACACGCCGAGCTACATGCACGCGGCACAAAGGCACCGCAGTCAGTCGACTCGCCCCACTCAGAATGTAAGGCTGTGTCCTCACGGTAAACACACAACCGGCGAACGATGTTGACCTCCGCGCGTGATAGGCATGATCCGTGTTTGCGGTTGACTTACGCCCCGCGTCTCGTGCGAACAGCGTTGGCCATCGCCCCCAGGCGTCGACCCCGTGCAAACAAGCGCACAAGAGCCCAGCCAGCTCGTGTAACTACCAACACCTGATCTCCCCACGAGCCGCCGCCGCCAGCGACATCTTTGAGGAGACGTCGCCGACAATTACCGGCCGTCCCCCTCGCCTCGCGAGCGGCTGGGTCCCGCCCGCCACCTCGCCTCGCGACCGGCCGCGTCCCGCTCGCCCCCTCGTCTCGCGACCAGCCGAGTCCCGCCCGCCCCCTCGCCTCGCGAGCGGCTGGGTCCCGCCCGCCACCTCGCCTCGCGACGGGCCGGGTCCCGCCCGCCACCTCGCCTCGCGACTGGCCGCGTCCCGCCGCCACCTCGCCTCGCGACGGGCCGGGTCCCGCCCGCCACCTCGCCTCGCGACTGGCCGGGTCCCGCTCGCCACCTCGCCTCGCGACGGGCCGGGTCCCGCCCGCCACCTCGCCTGGTGGCGGCGGCGGCGGCAGCCTCCTCCGGACCGACCGAGCCAGTCGTGGCGACACGGTAATGCACCTCGTCTGGAGGCGGGAAAAATCCATTGTAAAAGCTCCTGAATTGAAAAGTCTTTTCGACTGTCAGGTGGTTGGAAAGGTACATACGGTAGTCGAGCGAAAAAGAAAGGCAGAATGGATATGATGGTGATCATCATATACAGCAAGACACGCATCGCAGAAAATGAGCAATAAGGCAATAGCCGCTGTGGTATGAGCCATTACGTAATGGCTACATGGTACATCATTGCTGCCTGCATGACTGGCGCGGTAACAATGGAGTTGGCTGAACCGCACGGTAGCGTATTAGGCGGGGTAAAACACCGCATCAAGCTCCGAGGAGCACAAAATGTGTTACGTCACCGAGCAGGAGAGCACTGTAGGAGCACTGAGTGCGCTATGTTGCGACGTAGGGCACGAGCTGAAGCACCTCATCCCATCTCCCGACGAACATCCCGGCACGCAGATATCAGACCGTGTCTGTGGTATGACACACTTCTCGCGCAAAAGGGAGCGCAAAAGAAGAAAGGAAGCTCCGCTTCAGCTCCCAGATTGCCCCGTTCGCCATCTACATAAGGATGTCTTTACATCTGGCAGCTGCCAGCTCAGAGCGGCGCGGCCTGCGCTCCGAGGCCCATGGGAGGAATGACCGCCTGCTTCGTCTGGCGATAGCTCCCAGACGGGTCGACCCTCGGCCCGGCTAGCTCGATGACAGGTCGACTCTCGCCCGGCCAGCTCGGCGACAGGTCGACATTCGGAAGCCGGTGGCCGACCGCAAGGACGGCCGCCGGTGCCACTGCCGGAGCGTGCGGGGTGCCGCGGGTGCCGCCGCGGGTGCCGCGGGTGCCGCGGGTGCCGCGGGTGCCGCGGGTGCCGCGGGTGCCGCGGGTGCCGCCGCCGGAGCGTGCGGGGGGCCGACGGACCGCAGCCAGTTGGACCGGCAGCCTTTGTTTCAGGGTTGCGTAGCGCAAGTAATCGCGCCACCTTTTACGAAGCGCTGGCGCCCGCACTGGCCATGATACGCCCGGAGGTCATTGCGCCCGCCGGGAATCGAACCCACATCGCTCGCGTGGAAGCCGAGCACGCTGCCAACAAGGCGATTCAGGCCCTGGACGACGAGCCTTTAGTGAGGCATCCCGATCATTCGGGAACGTACGCAGGAAATCGGAACGGTGCAGACAGTGGGGCTAATGACACGGAGAAAAAGAGAAAACCAGAGGTTAAAAGAGAAAAAGGCGACTTCAGAATAACAGAGAACAGTCATGCATAAAGGATGTGCAAGAAAATGAAAATATATAACTTGGATCGACCCTGATTTAAAGGGACGGACGAACAATCAAAACGGGGTTAATCGACAGCGGCATCCGGCAATAACTGAAGGATTTTGCGCCGCCTGAAGCGCTCCAATCGTTTCAAAGTGCGTCGAGTCACCCACGCGCCTAATGTAAGGCAGCCGACGAGCTTATTAAGGCGCGCGGGTGAGCTCCTCGGCTGTTCTATAAAACCATATTAAGGGCGAGGCAGCCACCGTCGAAGAGTGTCGGTGAACACCGCACCTTCCGCGTAATCGCGAGATCAGCGCTGCACATTTACCAACTCCCTCGATAATCCCGCGTCAGCTAAACGCCCACACCAGACAGGAATCCAATGTAAAAATGAAATGTCACGTCGACGTGGAAACATTTCCAAGTACGAGACAAACAGACAATATTACAAAATTGGATACCAGTCATTTTG